GGAGAGAGAGCAAGTGGGGGAGAGGGGCAGAGAGAGAATCCCAGGCAGGCTCCACACTCAGCTCAGAGCCTGAAGCCTACTTTAGATTCCATCCTCCTCTGTCTGCCCCTTCCCCACTTGTGCTCTCTCAGGAAAAAAAAAAATTAAAAAAACAAAACATGTAGAGAAGACAGTGATCCCGGCCATGATGAAAAGGAACTTACTCTTGACATACTATCTTGGTTTCTATTCTCTACCTCTTCTCTCTCGTCTCTACTTTTATCTTCTGCTTAGTCAGAATTTCTGCTTATTCCTAACTTTGGCTTATTCTTGTTGTATCAGCACCACAGCCTGGATTACTGCATAATATCCTAAACTGAACTGACCCTGAAGCCCTTTTCTTAGAAACAACAGAGAGTGACTGTCAGCAAAGCCTTCCGGGCTTTATAGAGAACAAGTAAGAACAGGTTTCTTCTTCCAACTTGGTAAGGTTCCTCAAGACATCCTAGGATCTGAATTAACCAATGTCATTTGGTTACACTACACTTGGATTAGATCATATGCGGGCTTCCCTGAGGCAGGAGGCTTGACAAGACAACCAAGATCCTTTCCAGGTAAGTAATCATGTCTGCAATTTTCCTACTTCTTTGTTACTTAATAACTCTGAGTCTGATTACTTCTCCTCCTCCAAATTTTAATGTCATTTACTACATAAAGTATTACCCAATTATCTTTTGCTCAATGTCTTATAATTTATACAATGGAAGGGCATTATTCAAAATATGACAATAGGTGTTGAGGCAGGCACTTGTTGGGATGAGCCCTGGGTGTTGTACGTAAGCCAATTTAACAATAAATTATATTAAAAAATATGACAAACATTAAGAATGACAAAAATGAAGAAACAGGATTTTTTTCAACCTATAAAAAGTTCTGCTGCAGTTTTTCAAATTTTTTATTGGATTTAAAATGCTTTTAAGGGATATACAGATACACAACTAGTTTGATCAGCTACTAATATATTTTGGTATCCCTTTATTTTTGTACTCAACAGCCAGTTCACCTTTTCTCCATGTTCAACACTTAGTTTTGGTAAAATTTTGCCATGTTCTTCTTCATCTGTTACTAGAGCATGAGTATTTCTACCCTGCTTCGTATAAGCTGCTTTTTTAGTTTTCTTCCTGTGGGTATGTTTTGTAGGGCTCTTCTGTTTTTTTTCAACTTCACTGCTTACATCCCACAACATTATCTTCCCATCATTCCCTCCAGTAAGCAGCATATAGGATTCTGGCAGAAAGGAGACCTGGGATACTCCCAAAGTGTGGCCCTTAAATCCCAGTTCTTGTTCACACTTAACTCCCACCACCCTAAAGATTCGAACCTTACCATCTTCTGCACCACAGCTAAAAATATTGCCACATGATGCTACAGACACAGAGTGGGCTAAAGCAGGGTTTAAAAGCTGACCAGGTGATTGTGGGCTTTCCATCTCTTCTGTTTCATCTTCCTGCAAATTTGTAATCCAGAGTGGCCGTGCTTTCTGAAGGTTCCACAGCATCACCTTTAAATAAGAGGAAGTTATGTAGTCAAACAGAGGCCTAGCCATTTTGCTCGACTATCATGCTTATTCCACTTGTAATAAAGTCATCAAAGTAGTCTGATAATAATTAGTATGATACATTTCTAGCAATAAATTTTTAAAAATTCAGCTGGCACCACAATGTGCCAGTGGAAAAACTCAGATGCCAATGTACAATAAGGTAGAAAACAAGATCTTGAATAACTTGGGATTAACAAACCCATCAAACTGTATGTAATCCACATTCTTGAGCAGTTGCATTTCTTTAAGTCACTGTACCCTCATTTCTACAAGTAAAATAGAACATTATAAAACTTATTAATTTTAGTCTATGCTGGCTGCAAGTCAGAAAGCCTGTCAACTAAATAAATGAAATCTGGATTATCACTGAAATGATTTGTATCTGGGATGCTTTCTCTTTCCTTTCGTACAACCTAAAGTACCCATTTTAGAGGCTTACCTCAAGTTCCTGTCCCTCTAGGAAGGCTTTCCTAAATATTCCAGCCCACTTCTCTCTTGCCTGTATTTAATTTCTATGCTATTAATTAACATATACTATTAGCTTGTCAGTTTCTTGAGATTTAATTCACCTTAAACATTTTTTTGTAAATTTTAAGTAGGCTCCACGCCCAACATGGGGATTGAACTCACAACCCTGAGATCAAGAATCATGTGCTCTACCAACTAAACCAGCCAGGCATCCTGAGATTTAATTCATCTTTGCTCAATACCTGGAAAGAGCAAATATTCCATACCTATCTGTTGATTAATTTGACATCCTGGCATATGTGGGTTTTTTTGTTGTTCCCTACCATGATTTTGGACCTACTAAATTGATTTAAATGAAATGCTAATTAAAACCTGTTTAAAACAAAACAAAAAACTTTGTGAATTGATTTTACTCTATAATCTAGTGATTCATTTTCTTCCCACAGCAACCAATTTGAAAAGGAAAATATTCTTCATACTTTCAGAGAATAGACAGCTTTATTTTACCATCTAGTATTATCCCTTAATTATTACTCACGATTTATTTTTTGTTTTTTTATTTAAAAAAAAATTTTTTTTTTCAACATTTATTTATTTTTGCGACAGAGAGAGGCAGAGCATGAACGGGGGAGGGGCAGAGAGAGAGGGAGACACAGAATCGGAAACAGGCTCCAGGCTCTGAGCCATCAGCCCAGAGCCCGACGCGGGGCTCGAACTCCCGGACCGCGAGATCGTGACCTGGCTGAAGTCGGACGCTTAACCGACTGCGCCACCCAGGCGCCCCGTTACTCACGATTTAAAATAGACACTAGAATAAGCATGGTTCAGTCAAAAGCACAGATCTGAACTGACAAGATTACTACTGCTGACGAATATTAAGGATTTGGTTTTCTATCGAAGGTAACTGCCCTCAACTCAGCCTCTGAAAGAAGTGACCTCTAATACATTCTGCTTCTATCAAGAAAAGCACTGAAAACTCTTTTAGATTGGATTTATAACATTTGCTAAGTGGACAGCAGTTGCTATTTGGCTGAAGCTAAAATATTAACAAATTAAAATAAATTAAAGTAAAATAAAGAAATACCAGAAAATATAACAAAGATGTGATATGGACATGCTATGGAAACAAATCTCTAAAAAAAAAAAAAATCTGAACACAAGGCAAATGGCACATTCCAGAATCTGCTAACTTAACTGTCTTGGCAGGTATCCCCAAGTCTTTCTTGCACTACCGTGCATGATGCCTAGATTATATTTTCTGCCCTCTTAAGACATGAACTATACTCAAAGTATTTTCAGCAGCTTAAACATTTTTGTATTTACTGAAATCTAAATGTGTTAACAGCCATCCCAGATTCTACCAATCCAAGAATAATTTTCAAGTATTGAAGATTTCCAGACTGTTCCTTTCTGGACATTCTCTATACCACTTTACTCTTCCTAACTGCCAAAGATTCCAAGGTGTTTTACAATTTCTCAACCACCTGGTTCAAGTGGTGTCACTCAAAGCAGGAAAGCAAGAGATACTAAAAGAAAAGAACACAAGAGTCTGGAGGTTATGGTCCTACAAAACGGCAGAGGGGGGAGAAAGTGGACAACTGGCAATGTTCAGAAGTGAATGCAATCACATCAAAGTGACCCTGCTCACAAATTCCTCCCCTACAAAAACATTTCTTTCCACAGAAAAGATTCATTTTTAAGGGAAAAAAAAGCCTTCCTGCCATCCTGATCCTTAAGTATTTGTACTAGTGATCCTTCAAACTCCAGAAAAAACAATAAACCTTTTGAACCATTTATTTTCAGATGTGGAAATGAGGGGCAAAAAATCAATGTGTATGCCACAGAAATATATGATGGTCTCAAATTTCCAAAGGTCTTTACAAGAGAAAACTGTATCTGAGTGGTAGCTACACATGTATTTAATGTTCTTCTTATACTTTACACATATATTATAAATATTTTGTAGTTATTTAATAAAAAATTAAGCAGTCTAGGAGCTCCTGGGTGGCTCAGTCGGTCGAGTTTCCGACTCTTGATTTTGGCTTAGGTCATGATCCCAGGGTCTTGGGATCCGTGCTGTTTGCATGGAGCCTGCTTAAGATTCTCTCTTTCCCCCTCTGCCACTCTCCTGCATTTGCACTCTCTATAAAAAAAAAAAAAAAAAAAAAAAAAAAATTAAGCAGTCTCAAATGTCTTGATAAATCAATTTGTTAAGTTCCCTGCCACTCTAAGTGTGTTTTGCCTAATTATTTAAACCGATGTAAATCAAAGGGTATAATTTTTATGATTTCTGTAATAACAAAGATAGGTACATTGACTATATCTCCTGTGTGTGGCAATAATTCAATTCCTGCCTTGAGGTAAAATGTGTTTGTTCAGAGAGAAAGAGCTCTCAAAATTAACCTTATAACAACTCCATTCCACTTTTATGCCTACAATCTTGGACTCCTTCAGATTAGCTAGTCTTAAAGTTTAGAATAACATCAGATAACCAGGTTTTAAGAAGTAAACTGTTAGATACACAACTTGAGCGGAAGTCAAATGCTTAACTGACTGAGCCACTCAGGCACTCCAAGGAAAGTAATTTCTTAAAAGTTCTGTGTGCTGTCTTACCACTGTTAAATCACAACCCAATGCAGAAATTAATCTACAGTGAATATTTAGGTCTTGGCAGTCAAATCAAATAAGCAATTACCTAAGCCTCCTTTTCACAAAATATTTAGGTTGTTCTATACTGCTCTCTAGCAGTTGCCTGCCACTAGAACTTCTCTCCCAGAACTGACAGCAAAATAAATTCTAGATGCCCATTTCTTATCTAATCTGAGAAGTATATAGGTCATTTTTGCACACCTAATTGTTTACTGCCATGCCTAGTATATTAATGAACCAGAGATTGGAAACTGGTACAGCCTAAGGTTGAAAGAATTGACTAGTCAAAGAGACACTGTACAATCTGCCTACTCAACACAGATATCCACCTGGATGTGTAGGTCTTTTGTGTGTGTGTGTGTGTGTGTGTGTGTGTGTAGGTCTTTTGGTATAACCAAAATAGGCAGATTATCACCACGAGGGTAGAAAATGTAGGTTTTTAAGGGCTTGGTCAAGACATAGGTGTGGATAAAGAGTTTATAGGTTGTAGGGTCACTGTGCCCCTCAAATGCAGAATGATTCCCAACAGAGGAACTATAGACATTTTTGGTAAGACAATTCTTTATTGTTTAGGGACTGTCCCAGTGCTGCTGGCCATCCACTGATCCTGCCTACTAACTACAAGTAGCTTGGGGGAGGGTAATGGCAGTCATTGTGGAAACAACAAAACCCAGCCTCGTTTATTTCTAACTTATGAGGGGGTGTAGTGGGTAGAGAAGGGAGTGGTAAAGACTGCTGGCCAAAAAGGTAGAAAGATAAAGCCTTTGATGATATTAATGGAATCACAAAGTCTTGAAAGATATTGTACACAGTAAAGAATATAGACTAGGGCACGTGGGTGGCTCAGTTGATTAAGTATCCACCTCTTGATCTCAGCTTACGTCACAATCTAATGGTTGGTGGGGTCGAGCTGTGGATAGGGCTCTGTGCAGACACCGTGGAGCCTGCTTGGGATTCTCTTTCTCCCTCCCTCTCTGACCCTCCTCCACATACTCTCTTTCGCAAAATAAATAAATAAACATTAAAAAAAAGAATAAACACTTATAACTGTGCAGGACACACAAGTCATTAATAAACAATGGTTCTTTTTCTTTTTTTTTTTTTTTTT